AGGAGGAGGAGGAGGAGGAGGAGGAGGAGGAGGAGGCGGCGGCCCCTGGAAGCCGAGAGGGACGGACATCAGCACCTGGGCGGGGAAGCAAAGCTCCTAAAATAGCGGTTCACAGCATCCTTTCGCAACCCGTTTCCCAAGAATAAGGGCATTGTTTAAAGTGGGTTTAATAGCAGAAAAGTGCCACTGACCACCCATTTACATCTCACTGTTTCTTTCCCAGGCAGAGTGAAAATCTTGGCTGGAGTTTAGCCTGGCTGGCCTGGAGTGTGGCTGGGCGCCCACAAGTTGTGTGTCTGTGTGTGGGCATGTGCTGTCACAAAGCTGGGAAAAGATACGGAAAAGTCTGAGGAGACTTAGGTTTTCCAGTCCCAATCCCGCTCCTTGGCCATTTTCGTTCTGCTACTTTTCATCCAAAAATGCGGGTTGCTGCCCTATATTTTTAAGGCCAGGACCACCGTTAAGGAGAAAAACCAGAAATGTTTCTATCTGCCTCTTAATTTTGGAGCTGGTTGGGAGAGCGTCTCTCCCCCAAGGATGCTGTCGGCCCTCTGACCCCAGACTGGTTTTTGAAAGAATGGAAGAAAATTTCCGAATCTCTTCCTGCCCCCTCAAAGCGTTTGCAGCCTCCCCTAATCCGGGGCAGGATTTCAGCTCTCAAGCGCCCAGCCAGAACCGGGGAGAGCATTTGCCCGGGCACGCACTGGGTGGGGCCCAAAGGGGAGGTGGGGTTTGAAAGTCCCTCGGTTTCAGTCTGCCACCGAAACCTGGCGAGGCTGGCGGCTGGCCCCCTCCCATCCCCCACCAGGAAAGGCTCCCCAGGAGTGATTCACGGAGGAGGAGGAGAAGTGGGGAAGCATCTTGCGCTCTGGGTCCTGCATGGCGTTTGCAATGCTGGTTTTCTGTGGGCTGGGGAAACAAAGGGCGAACTGCCTGCAAGGGGGGAAAGCGAAAAGGGGAGGGGGACGCGTTCTGCAGATGTGGGGGCTGGCTCCCTTCCATTTACAAAGCCAACGTGTGGGGCAGGGTGGGGGTGCATGCGTTTAAGAAATAGAAATGCAACAGCAGTCCTTTAGCCCCAGAGGCAGCTCCCCTGCCTGTCGCCCGGGGAGGGGGGGCGGGGGCTCCAGCCCAGAGCAGCTCCTGGGCCAGCCTGCAGAGGCCGGTGCTGGCCTTCAGCCGCGCAGCTTCTGGGGAGACGCTTTACTGGAGCGTGCCGAGGCCCGCAGCCAAAGATGCGGCTGGTTGATTCCAATCAAAAGAGGGGATCCCGCCTCCTGGTCGGCTCAGGCG